GAGCTCCGCATGGGGCCACGAAGCGTGTGAGAGGTGTGCCAACATTTGGCGCGTACCGCATGCGGGCTGCGCCACTGGGGCCTAAGGTGGAGCGCCCTATGGGGCCACGAAACGTGCGAGGGGTGTGCCAAAATGGGGCGCGTACCGCATGCGGGCTGCGCCACTGGGACCATAGGTGGAGCTCCCTATGGGGTCACGAAACGTGCGGGGGGTGTGCCAACGTTGGGCGCGTACCGCATGCGGGCTGCGCCACTGGGACCTTGGGTGGAGCTCCGCATGGGGCCACGAAGCGCGTGAGAGGTGAAGATGATGGCGGGGGGAAGGAGGAGGGGAGAGAGGAGGAGGAAGGAGAGGAGAGGAGAGGAGAGGAGAGGAGAGGAGGAGGAACGCGGGGCGCCGTCTTTTCAAAACGAGGTCCCAACACCACAAGATGGTTGGGAAATAGCCCTCGCATCCCCGTCCTCGTCGTCCTCGTCGTCCTTGTCGTCGTCGTCGTCGTTGTCCTCGTCCTCGCCCTTGTCATTGTCCCCGCCGTCGTCGTCGTCGTCGTCCCCGTCGGCCCCCGTCCCCCCCCCCGCCGCAAACTTCTCGGCTTCCCCGCTCTCGCGTGTTGTTTCAGCGGCTTCCCCGCTATGTTGTGTCCCAGCTGAGTTTATATTCCGCGAGGGTGTCATATTCGAAACTACGGACATTGCGATTGCGAGTTCAATTCGAAACGTGCGAATATTCCGGTTGCGAGGATGTCTCAAGCCATTTGTCCGGAAACGCCCTGCTCTGCTGCCACCAATTCCCCTGCTACCAGGCCAGGGGGAGGCAGGGGGGGGACGCGCAGGAGGCGAGGGGGGATGTAGGAAAGAGAGGCAGGCAGACGACGACGACGACGACGACGACTCGACGACGACGACGGCAACGGTTGCACCGACTCCCAAACAGCGCTTGCACTGCGGGCCGATCACTGTGGTTGGGTTTAGCAGGGCCGAGCTGCGGGCCGATATCGCACAGATCAGAGTGGCCCGATCACTCCCAGTCCTCGACGATCTCGTATGTGACCACCGATGGTCACATACGAGATCGCCTGATCAGGCTGACCTTCTTCAGGAGCAAACCGACGGGCGGGTGGTCTGGCATGATCGGGCGCATCAGTTTCTCGAAGGTCGTGCGAAGCCCGATTTGTGCACGAAAAAAAACTGTAGCAGATGTTCGACTGCATCGATGCAGTCGAACATCTGCTACAGCTTGTTCGTCCGCTTCTCGGGCGCAGGCTTTTCGATCGGCTCATCGGTCGGGTCGAGAAGCGCACTCGATCGGCTTCTCGATCGGCTTCTCGATCGGCTTCTGCCACTGCTAGCGGCCGATCGCGCGGGCTCCTCCATGGTCGCCCGCTCAGGCTCCATGGCCATGCAACCGAGTGGGATTCGGCGCAGCAAATTAGAAAGCGAGCGCTCGTGAGCCAAAGACATGCGGAGGAGGACGAGGGAGAAGATGATACTCATGATGATTGGGGTGGTGGCGATGTGGATGATGAGAAGGATGGTGAGGGTGTTGATGAGGATGATGACGATGACGACGCTGATGGTGCGCTGCAATGGCGAAACAGAACAAATTGCGCGCATGCGGCCGCATCGCCAGGTGTGACAGGGGATGCTTATATTGACTTATGAGGAGGGGGCATGTGGCGGAAGTGTTTATAGCAGCATCGCTGATGCATCCTGGGTTCTCTCTGGTCGTTGGCCCTCCTCCCCGCCCCCCTATCCGTCTCGTCCTCCTTCCCCATCCGCACCTTCTCCCCCCCGCCCCTCTCCCGACCCCATTCTCATCGCCCTCCTCCCCTAGCGGTACCACCGCTGCAGCGGCTTTTCCGCTGGCCCAAGAGCAGCGACCATGTCGCAGACACTGATGGCGCGCATTGGCGCCGTGCGACTTCTCCTGCAGGACATGACTGGCTCGCCTCGCCACGAGTCCATATCGCAGGTGCAGGCGAACGCCTTGGATACCCTGGTTGCGAGGGAGCAAGCAGGTCTTTCTGACTACCAGAAGGCGAGTGCAGCGGCCCCCGTCTCCAAGGTGAACTGGCACGGCCACCGCGACCTGAACGCTTGCAGGCCCTGGCGCCCAGTGCACGTGGGCCGATGGGCCCCGCGCGGCAGCGCGCGAAAAGCTAGAACTTCTCGGCCCTGATGAACCACGTCACAGCGGCAGGATGGGACCGCCTGCGCGAGGAAGGGGTTCCACCGAGCGCAGTTCAGACCATGCTGGTGCAGCGCATCATTCGCCTGGGGGGGCGCGCATGCGGACGAGCATTCGCTGAAGCTTGCTGACTCGGCCTTCATGCTCATCACCATGCCCGATCGGGTCTAGACCATGTCCTACTACGACACGAAGAAGTACTTCGACAACTTCATGACGGCGCACCACCGCGTGGCGGAGAAGTCGCCGCGGCCCAGGGCCTATATGCTGGAGCTCCCGCAGATGCCTCAGGACCTCCTGGCGTCGTTCCCGACGGTCTACCAGGCCGCGTTCTCGGCAAAGCCTGGGGGCGGCCCGGCCGCGTGCCCCTTGGACATGCGACTCCTTCGAGACTTGGAGGCATCCTATCGGTGCCGCGGTGCCGCGCCCGCCTGCTCGGACCGCGCCAGCGGCGCGGCGTCGCAGGAGCTGGCCACCAGGGCGCCTCCGAACCAGATGGAGCAGCACATGCAACGGCAGATGCAGCAGATGCAGCAGATGACGCAGATGACGCAGATGGCTCTCGGCGCGGCGGCGGGAAGCATGCGAGGGGGCCAGAGCGCGGCGCCGACAGAGGGCGGCGATCTCTTGGACAACCTGGCGGTGTTCGGCGCGAATCGGCGGCCTGGTAGACACCCTGCTCTCGCCACGACGGGTGCGGCTCGCGCGGGCTCGAGCGATGCGTTGGCGAGACATCCGCAGGCCGCGGCGCCGACCGCGGGATCGCAGCACGCCGGCCCGCCCAACGTGACGTCGTCAGCAGAGGGGTCGCAGCAGATCGCGGCGTCGGCAGCGGCGCCCCCGACCCAGTCGCAGCCGATCGTGGCGTCGGCAGCGGCGCCCCCGACCCAGTCGCAGCCGATCGCGGCGTCGGCAGCGGCGAGCGCGCCGCCAGCCGCTGAGCCAGCCGTCGAGCTCGCGCGGCCCTTGAGGATGAACATCAAGACACAGGTCGAGGAGGCAATGAACATGATGCTGCATAAGAGGAATACGACGCAGGCGAAGAAGCGCCCAGCGGCATGCCAGGCGGCCGACGAGCGCGAGCAGGAGAACGAGGACGATGCGCAGGAGGAGGTGGAGGACCAGCGTTCGTCGCCGAAGGCCAGGGGACGGCCAAAGGCGAAGACGGCGGCGAAGCCGAAAGCCAAGCCCAAGGACGCGGCGACGACGACGCCCATGTCCAAGCCCAAGGTCCAGGCGCTCATTTCCGACATCGTTGTGTGGACGAGCTCGGACGGGAGCGCCAACAAGAACACGTTCGCATCGAGGGTGTACTCCAGGGCCAAGAAGCGGGCAGCTGACGACGGCTACTCGCACGATGCATCGGTCGAGGTGGCGAAGAAGGCCTACGGCGCGGCAGCCGCGATGTGGGATGCCAAGTGCAGCTGATCGCGGGCGCGTCGAGCTGCGCGCCCAGCCTGCCTTTGCACTGGATAGGATCTGGGAGGGTGAGGAGGATAAGGGGGACAAGGAGGAAGGTGAAGAGGAGGAGCAAGCACCGAGTCTAATATGCACGCGAGCCCCGCGCCGTCGGGGCTGCGTGCATCGCGCCTGGGCCTACGCATGCAGAGCCAGCCGCGTTCGGGGCACAACGTAATGCGCGTCAAATCAAAGAGCCCCCAGGAAAGCCCAGAGGAAGAGGCGGTGGGTGGGGGGGGGCTGTCGCCCGCGGGCGAACACTTGGGTGCCCTTTCCTGCCACGTCGCCAGCATGATCATGTTATCATCCCGTTATCAACCTTGTTATCAGTGTTATCACGCTCGTTACCATTGTTACCGAGGTTATCAGATAACACCGTGATAACGGTTATCAGATGTTGATAACGCGCGTGATAACGATGATAACATGTTATCACGCCGCTTGATAACGCTGATAACACAAAGTGCGAAACATTCGCGTTACCAGGCATCCTTGATAACGGTTATCAGATGTTACACTGTTGTTATCACAGCCCATGATAACGCGCCTGGTAACGGTGATAACGGCCATGATAACAGTGTGATAACGGGTTGGTAACGGCCCAATACGTCCTTCTGGCATCCTTTCCCCCCCCATCTCCCCCTCCCCCGAGTCATGTTCCTCCTCCCCAGCGGTCTTCCGCTGGCTCGAGCGGCGCCTCCGCTTCGCCTGTTGCCACCTACACGGGAGCGGCTCGCGCCCGCGCGCGGCGCGACAGGAGGCCGAGATGGCCACCGCTAGCGACGCCGACGACACCACGTGCGCGATCTGCCTGCAAGTGTTGCTGGACGGCACGGAGGCTCGGACGCTCGGCTGCCTTCGCAAATACCACGCTTACTGCACCTCGACGTCCACAACATGCAGGTCGACGATTTCCCCTGCCCGCAATGTCGAACGACGGAGCGGGCCCTGGGGAGGCGGAGGCGGCGCTGACAGGCAGCCCGCCCGACGCCGCCGACGACGCCGACGAGGTCGAGACCATCGTCGCCGACATGGCGCCGCCCAGCAGCCCGCAGTTGCGGCGCGTGCCGCGGCCGCCCCAGGAGACGCAGGTTGTGCCCGCTGAGGCGGTGGACGGGGCGGGCTCGGTGCCACCGCCCGGCCCAGCGTCGCCGCCGTGCGCGGAGGCGATGCCCGCGGCGGCGGCGACGGCTGGGGCGCGGCCAAAGGCGAAGCCAAAGCCGAAGCCAAATGCGACGGCGAAGCCGAAGCCGAAGGCCAAGCCCAAGGCGAGGGTGGCGGTCGTCTCCGCCTTGAGCACGATGGCGCCGCGGGGCGCCGACGACCCGCCCGACGCAGCGGGCGCCCCCCCCGAGGCGCCCGAGGACGCGCCGCCGCTTGATGGCGACGCCGCCGCCGAGGAGCCCCCGCCCGGGGCGCCTTTTCCCAAAGTTGCCGCCGCCGCCGCCCGCCCAGATGCGCCCAGAGCCGACGATGATCACGCGCCCCACGTTCATGCATGACGTTCGGTTGCGGCGCGGGCGGTGCAACGAAGAGGTAACTGCAGACAGGGCTCGGTTGAGGGGCAAGTCGCAGCAGAAGTACAGGTGCGACGGCTGCAATGTCCACATCACGCAGCTTAGCCGCGAGTTCGGCGGGTTCCCGAGCAGCGACTTCAAGCGCCTGGGCGAAAAGACGCAACAGGCCTTCTTCAAGGACGTGCGCGACGTCTCCAGCGGGAAGATGGTGGTCGCCAAAGTCAAGGGCCTCATGCGGAGCTACGAGAATCACGCGGACTACGACGCCGAGGGAGGGGAGTTCCCCCCCAGGCGCGTGGAGCACGCGCGGCTTCGATGCCGCGCCCATCGAGGCCAACAGCCTGGAGAAGGACAAGAGGCAGCGCAGGGTCTTGGGCGCAACGCACCGCGTCCCGATCCTGTCTGGAGGCCATCGTGGAGCCAGGGGCACCGAGCGGTCCCACGTCGCCGAGGCCTCGCACCCCTCCAAGAAGATCAAGAAGACGACGGTCGCTGGCGCCGACGAGGAGCCTGATGAGGGGCCTTCGGGCGACGACGACTCGGACCCCAGCTCGGACTCGAGCAGCAGCTCGGACGACAATAAGAACCAGAAAAATAAGAAGGCGAAGGAGGCGAATAAACAGAAAAAGAAGACAGCGAAGAAGGAACGGGCGAGGGAGGAGAAGGAGCGCAAGAAGGCGCTGGAGGACAAGGAGAGGGCCAAGCAGGAGAGGAAGGCCGCCGCCGAGAGCCGCAAGGTGGCGGCGGCGAATGGCAAGTTGGCCGACTGTATCGATAAAAAGGTGACGGAGACGCTGACGGCCGTCAACAGGGTGGTGGGCCATCGCTTGTTCCCTGAGCTCCGCCAGAGCATCAGGGATGACATGAACGCGTTCCAGGCCAAGCTGCAGCGCATGTCGCAGGACATCGAGTAGGTCCAGAACGGCGTCGGCAGCTCCATCCGCTACGTGAGCACGACCGCCGAGGCCAAGGCCGCCGCGGCTACTGAAAGCCCCTTTGAGCCTATAACGCACTTGGCAATCCTCCCCCATCCCCCCTCCTCCTCCGCCTTCCTCTTCCTCCTTATGGGCTCTCGTCGTCACCGTCGTCGTGGTCGTGGTCGCGTTCGGCATCCTAGGGCTCTTCGGGATCTTAGGGCCCTTGGGGCTCGTAGGGCTCATAGGGCTCCTAGGGCTCATCGGGCTCCGACGGATCACAAGGCCCCTGAGGCCTCTTCGGGCTCTTAGAGTTCCGTTTGCCCTTAGGGCTCTCAGGGATCTTAGGGCTCCTAGGGCGCTTAAGAGTCTTGGGGCCCTTAGGGCCCCCAGTGCTATCAGAGCTCTCAGGGCTCTTATGGCCCGTAGGGCACCGAGGGCGCGCGGGGCGCTGAGGGCTCTTAGGGCTCTTATGGATCGCGCGGCTATTCTTGGGGCTCTCAGGGCCCCGATGACTCAAATGTATCATAGAGCTCTGTTGATGGCTCTTGGGGCATTTCGGGCTCTGAGGGCCTTGCGACTCTTCGGGCTATTGGGGCCCCTGTGATCATTCGGGGCCCTCAGGGCTCGTGGTGCTCGCAGAGCTCATGGGGCTCTAAGGACTCTTTGGGCGTCCAGGGCTCTGTGTGCACTTAAGGCTCTCAGGGTTCCTATAAGTCTCTTATGGCACTTTAGGGCTCTGGAGAGTCTCGGGGTTCCCAGGGCGCGTCGGGCTTTTGGGGCTCTTAGGGCTCGCAGACTCCAGGGCCCTCGGCCCCTGCATGAGATCCCATGGCCCCGGAGACAATTGGCACAGGTGCTACTTGTGCGTTGGAAGGACGGGCGGGAGCGAGCGAGGCGGCTTAAGCCAGGGTAGCTACCCTGGAGTGCCCACGATATCTCATCATGGCCCCTAGAGGGCCTGAGAGAGCGCAACGTGGTCTCCAAGACGCCCCACCTCTCGGGGCCACATGCGCGCCCTCTCGGGGCCTTCCAAGGGCCTGGGCCTCGTGCCTCCCGAGGCCTTCCTGACCGACGTGGGCCGCAAGTTTCGCACGGCCCAGACCTTGTTGGAGCTGAACGGCCGCTTCGGCGCGGCGTGAAGATCAGCCTGATGGTCACGTGCGAGATGATCGTCGACGACTGAAGGGCCATCGGAGGTTGGGGTGTACGACGTCCTCAGGGCCTCGAGCTTTTTGTGCATCAGCATACCTTGCGCGACCCCGTCGAGGAATAATTCTTCGACCGGGGGCCGAGGTTGCCGTCGGAACAACGGCAGGCGGCGCGCCGACCTCGCCCTCTCCCTCGTCGGAAACTGAGCGAGCGGCCCACATCCTCCCCGTCGCCCTCTCCATCCCCCCGTCGCCCCCCTCGTAGTCCTCCTCGTAGTCTTCCTCGTCGGCCACCGCGCCCCTCCACCGACATTCCCGACGCTTCGCGCGCCCCCGCCAGCCCATCCAGAAACGACGCCCAGGCGAGCTGATGAGGGGGAGGGACAAGGCTGGCGAATAGGATGAGGAGGAGGAGGATGAGGGGGAAGAGGAGGAGGAGAAGGGGGGAGAAGTTGGAGGGGCTACAACTGGCCTTTGACCAGCTGGGGCGCGGCTAGCGACGCTAACACCGCCGATGGCAGCCGCCCCAGGCGGTATGTCACCGTCTCCTGGGCATCGTTGTTGGGGGGGTCCGAGGGCCGAGGGCGAGAGCGATGGGGCGGTGGCGCACTGCGCGGAAGCCCTCGCTGCGGATGCCCCTCGATGGGGAGGGTGGGGCGGCGGTGGGCGGGCGCTCCTGGGGCCATGCTGGAGCCCTGAGCCCCATCTAGGCAAACTTGGAGCCATCTTGATGCCTCGGGGGGCCGTCGGAAGCGAGATGGCGAGAACAGGCGCCATGTCGATTTGTTGTTGGGCGTTGTCCCCAACCATCCTGTGGTGTTGGGTCTTCGTTTTGAAAGGACAGCGCCCGCGTTCACCTCCTCCTCCCGCTGCCCCTCCATCCCCATCTTATCATCATCAACATCACCATCATCGTCATCATGATCATCATTGTCATCATCGACGTCATCACCACCATCACCATCGTCATCATCATCATAATCACCATCACCCATTTCGGCACACCCCTCACGCGCTTCGGGGCCCCAGAGGGAGCTCCACCGAAGGCCCCAGTAGCAGGGTTCGCATGGCGGCCTCGGGCCATTTCGGCACACCCCCCACGAGGATCGTGGCCCCACAAGGAGCTCCACCGCAGGCCCCAGTGGCAGGGTTCACATGGCGGCCTCGAGCCATTTCGGCACACCCCTCACGAGGATCGTGGCCCCATAGGGAGCTCCGCCGAAGGCCCCAGTGGCAGGGCTCGCTCGGGCCATTTCGGAACACCCCTCACGAGGATCGAGGCCCCATAGGGAGCTCCACCGAAGGCCCCAGTGGCAGGGTTCGCATGGCGGCCTCGGGCCATTTCGGCACACCCCTCACGAGGATCGTGGCCCCATAGGGAGCTCCACCGAAGGCCCCAGCGACAGGGTTCGCATTGCGGCCTCGGGCCATTTCGGCACACCCCTCACGAGGACCGTGGACCCATAGGGAGCTCCACCGAAGGCCCCAGCGGCAGGGTTCGCACGGCGGCCCCGGGCCATTTCGGCACACCCCTCACGAGGGCCGCGGCCCCATAGGGAGCTCCACCGAAGGCCCCAGCGGCAGGGTTCGCATGGCGGCCCCGCCCCATGTCGGCACGCTCCTCACACGGGCCGCGGCAGCATAGGGAGCTCCACCGAAAGCGGTACCCACCACGCGGTACCCACAACTGCATGCGGTTGGGTTCTTCGCCAGGGTATGTACATATATATATATATACATATACATATATACACATGTCTATAGATACATTTGTGTGTGTGCACATATATGTGTATATATATATGGGGGGGGGGGCTCCATGGAGAGCCCATTGGCCACTTGGAGCCGTCCTTGGGCGGTCTTGGGCCCTCTTGGGCCGTCTTGGGAGCCACCTTGAGCGACGCACGCACGCGCGCACACACACACACACACACACGCACACACACACACACACCACACACACACACGCACACACACACACACACGCACACACGCACACACACACACACGCACACACACGCACACACACACACACACACACACACACCGCCCGCCCGCCCGCCCCAGGAACGGGGGTCGGGAGAGGAAGCGGTCTAGGCCGCCGACGCCCAGAGGGCTGGTGGGGTTGACCGAATCATATGAATGCGCACATCCTCTGCCCTCCCCCCAAATTGGCATGCCCCCTCCTACATGTCCTCCGCCCGCCCCCCCCCCCCCCCCCCAATTGGCATGCCCCCCCCCCCCCCCCCCCCCCTCTGTAGCAGCGGCATTTTCCGCTCCATGGCCCACGACGCAGCGCAGAAGCGTTTGAGACTGCAGTCCGCGCTGCACACGGGCGGGACATCGCTGGATGGGTTAGCGCGGATTGCCGCGAAACGCGTTTGCGAGCCTGCTGGCGATACGAAGCCTCGCACTATAAACCACGAGTTGTTCGAGAGGGCGAGGTTCGACGTCGATCTGCGTTTGGCAACTGGCGAACCATGGCGTTGGGAGGTTTGCCAGCCCGCGCTCGTTCCCCAGGGGATGGCGGCTGCTTCGGGCGAGTTGCAGACGCGGTTCTCGAATGCTTTCTCGTGGCGCCCGCGCTCGATTGACAGGCCTTGGAGCATGGTCATCGGCTTAGACGAGCGCGCGGTTGGCGACAAAAAAGGCAGACACACAAACGAAAAACCATGGTTGATTCTTTCAATGGTTTAGAGTTCGGGGGATCAGTTTTGAGCCGCGAGGCAACCTGTACGACCTTCGCTGCGATTCGGGATCACATCATAGGCAAGGTCGAGGGCAAGCGGCCCAGGTTGTTCGCAATACTTCTGCGTGAGATCCCGCTTGGCCCCCTGTCCTTCAGAGACGCGGGCGCGGCGTTGAATGTGCTCGGCCAAACGCGCCTGCTGTTCGCGACGGTGAAGGGTGTTTTAAGAGACCTCGGCGGCCACAGGATGACGTCCGACTGGACGGGCGCAAGCTCCCGCAAGCCATGCACTTCGCGCGGCAATTGTTGGAAGAAGAATTCACATCTCATTCCAGGGTGCTACGATATATCTTGTGCAGATTTCTCGAAATTTCGGCTGCGTGATCACGAGGGCATGGCTGCGCATATGGCTGCCGTTTTGGCGGCGAAAGCGAGACGTGACGCTGGGGCCATGGGCGTTGGGGATTTCAAAGAGCTCATTCAGGGCGCCGGCTTCAACCCATACCCACTGGGCCCTCTAGCAGATGAGGCTTTGCGCGGCATCCTCGACATATCTGACATCATCCGCGCTGACTGGGTGCACCATTATCTACAACATGGCGCATTTGCTTGGGCGCGCACGGCTTACGGGAGGGCGTGCGAGAGCAAGCTGGGAATGATGTTCGAGATGCGGGGTGAGTTGGTGAAGGCTGAGTGGACATTCCCCTTACCAATGGGCGCCGAGATCAGCCAAGTCTACGACGCATTTCCCGCGTCCTCCGAGAAGGAGTCGAAGATTCGATGCAAGGCAGGTGGTTACATATCCTTTTATGTTAGCATGCGGCATTTTGTCGAATGCAGACTGCTCGACATCCCTGGCCTTGAGAGGGAGAACGAGCCTTTCAGCGCAGCATGTGCTGTCTTGGACCTCGCCCTCGAGGCTAAGAGGGCCCCGCAGACTGGGCTCGCAGCCATTCTCAATGAGCTCAGGGCCGCTCTTCGTATGCACATGGATAGGCATGCAGCCGCATACGGCAAGAGGTATTTACTTCCGAAACACCACGCCACGCTGCATATTCCAGAACAAATTTGGAAAGACAAGTTTGTAGTCGACATGTTCGTTGTTGAGCGCTTAAACATTCGCGCCGAGCAGTCCGCAGAGAACAGCGTCAGGAACACAGAGCGGCACCAGCACTCTGTTCTCTGAAACTTGCTGACGAGGCACCATTATGATTTGAACGATGGTGTGCAATCCCTCCGCGAGGGCCTTCGCGGGTCTAGAAAGGAACCGCCAGGCTATCCAAATGTGGAGTTGGGCCACGGCGCCTGGGAGGATGGTCGCGAGCTGCACGTTCACGACGTGGTTTTGGTCGGGGATGGTGCTGGTCTCGCGTCGGCCTGCGCCTGTGAACGCGGGGCGCTGTACGTTGCCGTCAGGAAATTGCTGCCCACTGGCAGGCGCACCCGCTCAAGCAGATGGTTTTCGCTTTCGCGGGAGTCGATGGCAGTTAGCATGCGCGATGCGCACGCGGCCCGCGCGTGGCACCGCGATGGGGGCGCCTATGTGGTGCTGGTTTAAAGAGCGCACGACCTTGCAAGTTTTTTGTTAAATTAGACTGGCGAAAGACCCAACCATATGCAATTGTGAATACCGCAAGCGTGAATACCATCTTCGCCCGCGCCCCCTATGGGGCCACGAAACTTGTGAGGAGTGTGCCAAAATTGGGCGCATACCGCATGCGGGCTGCGCCGCTGGGACCTCGGGCGGAGCTCAGTATGGGGCCGCGAAGCGTGTGCGAGGTGTGCCAAAATTTGGCGCGCGCCGCATGCGGTCTGCGCCACTGCAGCCTAAGGTGGGGCTCCCTATGGGGCCACGAAGCGTGCGAGGGGTGTGCCAAAATGGGCAGCGCGTACCGCATGCGGGCTGGGCCACTGGGACCTCGGATGGAGCTCCCTATGGGGCCACGAAACGTGTGAAAGGTGTGCCAACATTGGGCGCGTACCGCATGCGGGCTGCGCCATTGGAGCCTACGCTGGAGCTCCGTATGCGGCCGCGAAACGTGTGAGGGGTGTGCCAAAATTGGGCGCGCGCCGCATGCGGGCTGCGCCACTGGGACCATAGGTGGAGCTCCCTATGGGGCCGCGACACGTGTGAGGGGTGTGCCAAAATTGGGCGCGCACCGCACGCGGGCTGCGCAACTGGGGCCATAGGTGGAGCTCCCGATGGGGCCGCGAAACGCGTCAGGGGTATGCCAAAATTGGGCGCGTACCGCATGCGGGCTGCGCCACTGGGACTTTGGGTGGAGCTCCGTATGGGGCCACGAAGCGCGCGCGAGGTGTGCCAAAATTTGGCGCGCACCGCATGCGGGCTGCGCCACTGCAACCTAAGGTGGCTCCCTATGGGGCCACGAAACGTGTGAGGGGTGTGCCAACGTGGCGCGCTTGCCGCATGCGGGCTGCGCCACTGGGACCATAGGTGGAGCCCCCTATGGGGCCACGAAGCGTGCGAGGGGCGTGCCAACATTGAGCGCGCACGGCATGCGGGCTGCGCCACTGGGACCTTGGGTGGAGCTCCGTATGGGGCCACGAAGCGCGTGAGAGGTGA